GAAAGATCAAGACGTGTGGAGTTGATCTGGAGTACGGCCGTCCTCAGTTCGCGGAGCGTCTGCTCAAATTCAGAAGTCCAATTCTGCAAAATGTACTGAGAAAGGCTCTTAAATAGATTAGCTGCTTTAGTAAAATTTTTATATGGGATAGAAGTAATACATAGGCCAGGGAGCTTCTGCACACACCCCAGCTGTGCCATTTGCCATGAAATATCCAACTGCTCTTGTACTAGATCAATGCGTTGATTGACCAACATAAGGCCTCCTTGTATTTGAGTATTAGCGGAGGTCTGCTTATCTATAGCCAGAAATACTGTGGCGGACAGATCATTAATGCTCTGTGCAGCTTGCACTGAACTGGACAGAGCGAGGGTAGAGGCTGTAACTGATGCCGCAACTGTAGTGGTGGCAATTATAGCCACAACAATGGCTGAGATCCCAAAATCTCTTCTCTGTCTAGATAATGACATGCTATTGGGGGCCTCTACAGGAACAGGTACAAAACGTGGCATTCGGGTCACTATCGCAATGGGGAACCTCTCAGCATCCCAGCATAAGGTGTAATAACAGTCCCCCTCCCCACATTCCAGCCTAGCTTCAACATGGCTTTTGTTGCTAACAATCCAAATAAATGGTGGCCAAACACAGACAGGGGTGGTAGCATAATTTTCATAGGCAAAGGTCTTATATTTAATATCAGTGGTGGTCCAACGACCTGATCCTGAACTCTTGCCTGATGAGAGTTGTTTGCCAAAATTTCCCTGCCAATTATATTCTAACTGTCCTAGCTCTCCCCTGCCTCCTTTTAACATGGCCAGGGGTGAAAGGTCTGTACAGCTTCCATTAACTCCACAGAGCAACCACTGATCAAAAGGGTTTGTGTTAGCTTGGTCGGGGTCCATGACAGTAAAATTTGATCCTCTCCCTATATTGGGAGAAAAAGAACAGGCCTTCCACGGCCCACATGGCATCCCTGGATTGGCACCCCGTCCATGGCAAGGCCAATCCTTTATCTTGTCGGCCAGTACAAAACGGGGCCAATTTTGGTTGAATCGGTGGGGCAGAAGTTTTATTAGTAGTGGGAGACCGTGGCCACCACCCATAGAGTACTGTGGCATTTGCCACGATGTTAAAGGCTTTGCCACCAACCGTGGCTTCTTTCAACCATGCTGAAGAAAGATTTCCTAGTATAATACAGGGGCTGCTAAAATTATTTCCTTCTACTAGAAAACACAGACTTCCCTTAAGGGGTATAGTCCTGTTTTCCATAAGCTCCTCAATCTGCTCATCTCGGGGTAGATAGGCAAGGCCTAAATTTTTATTAGTTACAAAGAATCTGGGGTAAACTTGGGCATTATACATCACCAGCATAGGCAGCGGGAAGGTTGACATGATACCCCAGCGTGGTTCCCCTTAAACGAGCCCGACTTCGATTGTCAGGATCATCAGCAGAAGGGGCCTACTCATCTTTACTGGGTGGCTGGGTTGTATGCCTTTCTTGATCCAACAAGATTCGGGTGAGTCTTTCAGGGACCCAAAAAGGATTTTCTTCATTCTGTGGAAAAACACAAACAGCTCCCCTGGATCTTATTAGAATAGGATC